CACCTGGCTCCTCCCACTACACAGGCATCTGCAGCTGGCCTCTGCAGCCAACTATAGCAACCAGTGGCTACAGCCACCATCACTGCCTGCCCTGGTCCCTAGCCACTGGATCTGGAGGTGCCAGTGAAGCACCAATAGCCTGTATGGACACTGCAGACTCCCCATAGCACTCACAAGGACCACAGTGGCCTGAGCTAAAGAGACATCACACTCCCTTGGACCTAGTGTCACCACACCTTTCTGCTCTTTGTGCCCTGCATCACTAGACCCAGGGTCACAGCACACTTCAGCATGCCACCACCCACTGAAAGTCTTCCCTTACTAAAATCAGTCCATGAAGTCTAGAAGTGACTACTTCTTCAAATATGCAGACACCTACACAAGGCTACAGGGATCACAAAGAATCAGAAAAACATGATTCTACCAAAAGAACATAGTAAACCTCTAATAATTGGTTTCAAAGAAATGGAAATCCAGGAATTGCCCAGTAAAGAATTCAAAATAATTGCTTTATAGATGCTCACATACCTCTGAGAGAATACAGATAAACAGTTTAACAGTACCATGAAGCAATACCAGAAAAAAACTGGAGTTTAACAAATAGAAAAGAACCAAACAAGTTTTGGAGCTGAAGAATACAATGATTGAGCTAAAGAATTCAGTAGAAAACTTCAATGAGAGACTTGGTCAAGCAGAAGAAAGACTCAATGAGCTCAAAAATAGATCAACTGAAACCACCCAATCAGAGGAGAGAAAAAAAAAGAAAAAGAACAAAAAGGCATGAAAAAAATCTTGCAGAACTTACAGACACCATAAAAAGACATAGGCATGCATTATTGGAACCCCTAAAGGAAAAGAGGGAGAAGAGGGTAGAGAAATTGTTTTTTTTAAATAATGGCTGATAACTTCCCAAATCTGGAGAGAGATTTGGACATTCAAATTCATGAAGCTAATAGGTCATTCCAAAATTTCAATCTAAAACAATCTTCTCTGAGACACATAATAAAACTGTCTAAAATCAAAGACAAAGAGAATTAAAAAAAAAATCTCTTATACAAGGGGACCCTCTATGGCTATTAGTAAATTTCTCAGCTGAGACCGTGAAGGCTGGAAAAGAATGGGATTATATAGTCAAAGTGCTGAAAGAAAGATGCTGCCAACCAAGAATACTTTACCCAAGAAAGTTTTCCTTCAGAAATGAAGGCAAGATAAAGACTTTTCCTAACAAACAAAAGCTGAGGAATATCATTACCAGTAGATCTACCTTACAGGAAATGCTGAAAGGAGTTCTTCAAGCTAAAATGAAAGTATCTTAACTAGTAACATGAAACATATGAAAATCTACAACACACTGCTAAAAGTAAGTATATAGTCAGAATAACACTGTAATATGATGATGTTAGCCACTTAACTCTAGTATAAAGGTTAAAAGAAAACTATGACTATTTAAAATAGCCATAGTTATGGGGCACCTGGGTGGCTCAGTTGGTTAAGCGACTGCCTTCGGCTCAGGTCATGATCCTGGAGTCCCGGGATCGAGTCCCGCATCGGGCTCCCTGCTCAGCGGGGAGTCTGCTTCTCCCTCTGACCCTCCCCCTCTCATGCTCTCTGTCTCCCATTCTCTCTCTCAGATAAATAAATAAAAAATCTTTAAAAAAAATAAATAAAAATAAAATAGCCATAGTTATGATAACTTCTTAATGAATATACATCAAGAGGTGTAAATTGTGACATCAAAAACATAAAAGGAGAGGAGTGAAAGGGTAGAATACTCTTAAAAGGTACCCATAAAAAATGCCAGTACAGAAAATGATCAAACCACAAAGAAAGGAAGCAAGAGAGGAAGAAAGGAACAAAACAGCCAAAAAACAAAGAATAAGTCCTTACCTATCAGTAACTACTCTAAATGTAAATGGATTAAATCCTCAAAAGACATATCAAAAGATAGAGTGGTCCAATGAATAAAAAAAAAAATCGAATATATGCTGCCTCTGAAAGACTCAAAGGACACACATAAGCTCAATGTGAAGGGATTAACAAAGATATTCTGTGCAAATACAAATCAAAAGAGCAGGGGGTAGCTATACATGTATCAAACAGAATAGACTTTTTTTTTTAAAGATTTTATTTATTTGACAGAGAGAGACACAGCAAGAGAGGGAACACAAGCAGGGAGAGTGGGAGAGGGAGAAGCAGGCTTCCCACTGAGCAGGGAGCTCGATGCAGGGCTCGATCCCAGGACCCTGGGATCATGACCTGAGCCAAAGGCAGACGCTTAACGACTGAGCCACCCAGGTGCCCCCAAACAGAATAGACTTTACACGAAAAATAGTAACCAGAGACAAAAAGGGTCATTATATAACATTACTTGACACATTCAACTGGGGACATGGAGTGGAAAGAAGTATAATTGTATAGTTCAGCAAATGGATCCCTTGCTGGGTTAAATATTTGGTGATATGTTCAGTAGGAATGTGGTGGTTTATTGGAATGAACTGTAGCTGAAAAACCAAGCCACCAAATCTCATTTCTGTTCTTATTTAACCATGGGCAAATGCTCAACCTTTCTGAGCCTCAGTTCCTCACCAGCAAGTAGTGCTTGATTTTAATTGATCTCTGTGACTATCTTCAGTTCTAAAATCTGTGACTCTCTTTTGGGGCTGCCATTTTCTAGGTCAGCTACAATATTCCATGGATTGTACTTAATAACTTAGATGTATTCACAAGCAGAAGATCATCTGCTGTTTGCTGGAGATTGAATCCAAGAAGGGCTTAATTTCATGATTTTAAAGAGGCCCATGGAAGTGTATTTCCTCCATGTGGTTTTGGTTATAGACAAATGTAAAGTATATCTCTGACTCAACTTGTGGGTGGCCAAATAGGGGAAAAATAAACAAAGGCTGGTTCTGTAGTATGTTAGGTCACTGCAGTTCTGTGTTTGTAGAAGCTGCTTGAGAAAAGATAAACAAACAAATGCTCAAATCAAGTGAAAAAAGGAAACTTTTTGTTATATGCAGCTAAAAACACATAGACTATACTGTTTCCTAAAATGGAGAGAACTAAAGATGTCAATCTTTAATCATTTTATTATTCTCTTCCACTTCCACACAAACACCAACACACAAAGTACTCTTCTTAAAAGTATCTTTGCAACATTAGTAATCTGCAAGTTAACTTCATGTAAACCAAAATTCAATTTTACAAGTTTTCTTTGTTCCAATTTTATAATAAAAATGTAAAATATATGGAGTCTTAATATGGCAGTATATAATAGAAACTAGTAGAGTCTCATATAGAACCTATATACTTTCTTCAAAAGGAGTCACAGCATTATGGAGTTGAATTTTGTCTGAAGAAAATGTAATAAAAAAATTTTGGAAATATATTGTGGAAGTTTTCCTATCAGCTAAACGTTCTGATGCATTGAATCAATTATTATAGGATATTTACTATACACCAACAGAAGATTCAGATAAGAATTGAGATCCACATAGATGCCATTTAAAATTGTATAAAATTTGTTTATTGAGCCTCTGAATATGAATACTAATTTAATGCTGTTTTGCTGACAAAGAAAAATCAATCAGTAAAAAAGTAAATCTCTAAGAAAATGGCCTCCTTTCCATGATCTGTGTTTTTCTCATGGTTGGATATGTGGTAATTCTCCATTTATAATATTTGAAATTATTTCAAGGAACTTTTGAATGTAAATCATCAGTGCAATTTGGGATCATGCATCAAATCCCACACTTGAAAGTGTTGGAAGTATCTCTTTTATCATAAGGAGAGTTTCTATATCTTTAATAAACACCTTCTTTCATTATCAGATACTGTCTCTGAAAAAAAAAAAAAACAGTTGTTGAGATCATGAAAGAGGAAGATACACAAGTATGTTAAGCATTTTATTTGAATCATTTTTCTTGGCTATTTGCTCTTGTATATACATAGTATAACCATAATCATATTCTGCATTGATGAAGGCTAAAGCTAAAGCAGGAACTAATATACCAATATTCAAATCACAACTATTAGCCCATAGGTAGCTTTTTTCTGTGCTGAGAAAATGCAATTGAAAATTTTTAATTTTGATTTTAAGGTTGAGAAAATGAACAACCTGAGTTATTTAAAAACATGAATATTTATGAATAAGGGTAATATTCCATCAACTTCCAATCTTTTAGCTAATTGGTTAATAATGTCCTATTTAGTTACCAAGCAAAAAGAGAACATGATTTCTACCTGATTTCAAAGACATTTCTTTGAAATTAAGATATTTTAACTTTAGGTTTTTTAAGTCATTAGCTAATCAATTCATTCCCTTATCAAAGCACATGAAGTAGTATCTAAGAAGTAGATTCCCAACATACCCACTTCATGTAAAAGAGTTTCTGACACCCAGTTAACAATTACTTTGAAAATATCTTCTATAATTTGCTTATTTTTAGTGTTATATCAATGCTGGGTGTGGTTGTTTTATTTTATTTTGCTCTTTTAAATTGAATATCTAAATAGTTCTGAGCTTTAAGATGCTCTGAAAATGAAAAAAATAAGAACTTTTAGCATTTGGTTGCTTGTTATTCTTTCTCCTTCAGTAAGATGATAAAATGTGGAAGGAATAGATTCATTTTTCCTGTATGACTCGGAACAATGTGTGGTCAATCTTTGTGTGACTATGGGTCACACAGTTTTACAAATTGAAGGACAATGAGTCAAGTTCAAAATTCTATAAAGAGAAGTTTAACTTTTCATCTAAAACTCCTGTTATCATATGGAAATTCTCTATGTTGTCAAAAAATGTTCTCTATAACCACTGAATATATGTGTAGGTTTCATTTTGTTTGCATTTAATTTCCATTCAAAGATTCCTTAGCTATGGTGAAACATGCACTTATTTCACTTACAATTATTTACTGATACCCATCAATAGCTAGTAACTATATTAACAAAATAGGGTTAGGAAATTAAAAGATATCTTTCTTCTCGGGGAACCATGAGTCAACATGCGCTATTTGAAGCCATGGAAGTGGCTGAGATCATCTAGGGAAAGATTAAAGACTGAAAATATAAAGGCGGCTAATGACAAAAAGCAAGTAACACCAACATTAAGGGACTAGAAGTTTACCCCCCAAAAGTTTGAAGAGTGGCCATAGGAGAATAGGAAAAAGCGATGTCAGAAAAGAGGGTCTAGAAGGATATTGGCTAGATTTCACCAAGATGTCTTTTATATTTTTTCTTTGTGTAACAAGAATAGTATTTTTAAAATAATCCCAAACTTAGATTACTTTATTAAAAGCGAGTTTTTGTCTCCCCTACCTCAACTGATATTTCAGTTTCAGGGAAGTAGGTAGAGAAGATGTCAACTCAGGAATCAGAGAAAACCATGGAGATTTGCCAAACACTTCCCATCGAGGAATTGTGGCAAAACAAATGAGAGTAGAGGGATAGCTGGTGAGTGAGATATACGGATCCAACCCTCCCCTCTCTGAAATTAGCCTGGAATTCGATGAATGTGTTAGGTAAATTGAGGAGTATGACAAAGAAATTAGGTTTTTGGAGAAGCAACTGATCTACAAGGTGATTTCACGCCAACAAAGAGTCCTTGCCAGTATATCTATGAGGGATGCATGGTGTAGTCAATCAGGGAAAGAATCTAGTCCTCACTTTATAAAGATTAAGGATGCCAAATTTAGAGCCAGCATATCTGTCATTAGGTCTGGCATGCTGTGGCAAAGTGATAGATTTAGAAAGCCAGAGAACACTGGAGGATGAGGCAAAGACTCAGAAAACGGACAACACTAACAAGAGTCCAAGAGAAGGCAAGCCAGGAAAGAAGGAAACCCCAGGTCTGCACAAACCAAGAATGAATATGCTATAACCTAATGAACAATCACCAACAGCATGACCTTGGACAAGTCAGGTCATTCATATTTCAAGGAAGAGCCCCAGCATGTACCCAATCACTTGCATACAAGCCAGAGGGTTATTTTTCTCCTGTCCCCAGAAGGTCACAGATGCCTCTCCTGCACATCGCCGGGGAGGAATCTAAAAGTTCCGAGTTATTATGTCAAACAATTGAATTAAATCTAAAGAGACTCTTCAAATAACCATGTATTCTAAATTTTTAACTAAATTTTCTGTATTTAATTTCCTCTACCCCCCACCTTGCAACTACTTAGTGGGATGAGGTGATAGAGGAGATAAAATCAGTTTTAGAATAAAAGGAAATTGTATATTTTTTTCTGCACAAGTAGCATAAAGTGAAATTTGTCAACCAAATAATTATGCACCATTTGTTTTCGTTTCTCATCCCTCAGCAGATTTTTTTTTTCCAAAATTGAAAAGAGGCAAGTTGGGTGAAAAAATGGGCTCAAATCTCTTCCTTATCCCAGAACTTTCTGTCCTCAATCACACACGTACTTTTGGATTACTATGCATCTAAAAATCGTTGATTAATGATTGGTGCCTTTTGTCAAAAGACTCTTAACAAGAGAGCTGAAGTTGGTAGCTATTGGTAATTTAGTATATAATGATTATTAGGTATATGGTAATTAGTGCTAGATAAACTTGGAAAACATAGTATGTAAAAAAAGAGGAAGGAGGTCTGATGTATGGGTATTCCTAGGAAAAGTGAATATAGATGGAGCATTGAACTAAGAGCATACAGTTGAAGCATAGGATATAGCATTAGGCTATTCAGATGGGAAGAAGATTCAAAGCATAGGAGAAGATACTTAAATTAAGGGCAGGGGGAGGGGGAAGGCCTCTGACTGGCCTAGTCAGGAGAGCATGTGACTCGATCTCAGGGTTGTGAGTTTGAGCCCCATGTTGGGTGTAGACATTACTTAAAAATAAAATCTTCATATAAATAAATAAATAAATAAATAAATAAATAAATAAATAAATAAATGGCAAGGGGAACTGAAGGGTAATACCATTAACATTTATTTTTACTTAAAATATACAAATGTTTTAATCACATCTAATATTCCACTGGCCCCTCACACCAACCTCAGGATGTCTTTTTTTTTTTTTTTTGTCAGTGAAAAGCCCAAGATTCCAAGTGGTAAAGTGACTTATCCAAGGTCACATTACAATAAGCGGCAGAACCAGGGCTAGAAATCATGTCTCTTGCTTCCATGTCCATTTCTCTTCTGATTACAATCACAGCAGCAACTTTTCAAACTTCATAATTTTTTATATGTCCAACTCTATGTTTTTAAACAATCAAGAACAAGTATTAATAAAATCTAAAAAAACCAATGTCCCTCCACCTTCTAAGAGTGTAAACATTTTAGCTCGTACAATCCAATCTAACCTCTTCATCTCTGTTTTTCATTAATATTTGGACTTGCTAACATGTACCTAAAATCGAGGATTAGTGTCTCTGAAATGCTTTTAGTAAAAATGATTTGTTTGTTGTCTATGTAGGGGAGAAGATGATATGGCATATGAGAGTTTCTTGTATTCTAGACTTGTCACAATCAGAAAGACAAATGAAATATAATAAAGTATATCAATTGACTATGGGTCTTGAGAAGCACTCAAGTGTATTTGAATCTGTCAAGATACACGATATATTGTCGTATTCTAGTAGTAACAGCTATTATACAGTAGAGATTCTTGAGAATGACAATGATACACTTTTCCAATTATAAAATGAGATATTTTTGCCTTCACAGTTCAAGGAAAAGAAGATTTTTATAGCCATGAAATGAGCATTGAATGGTAAGTGCATTTTTTGAAAATCACAGATAATTACTAAACACATGGAGGATTTGCTCCAAGGAAGGAGAGGACACAGAATGAAGAAAGAAGGTAGTATATGGGAGATATTTTCACATGGCTGGTTAATGTGCTCATCACAATTTATGACAAGCTATCTTGAGAAGAGAGTTGTCAAGTTACACAGATTTCTTTTACCTAGTGCTTTTATAATATACTTTTTTATCTCCCAAATTTTAACTTTTCTGTATGCTTTGCTATAGATGTATCTCTTAAATTTATAATTAGATTGTTTTTCATCTAGTCTGACAATCTTTGTCTTTTAACTTGAACACTTTTAGTCCACCTCTATTAAAAAATAATTATTATTGTTGCTGATGCTAAAAGTGTTGAAAAGACAACTGTCTCATTGTCACTATTTTGGAGAGAATATGTCTTCTCTCGTTATACTTAAATTTCCTCTTTGTCTTTGATCTTTGTTTATCCATTCATTCATTCATTTTTCTGAGGTTAATTAAACATCCTGAAATAGTAGATGTGTGTCTGTGATGTATTTTATTTTATTCTCACAATTCTTTCTTCCCTGCTTGAATATACTTTGGTTTACAATGGGCAGAGTATATGTCCACGTCTCATTGATAATGAGCATGTCCATATAAAGTGCTTTGATAAAAAAATGTATGAGGGAGTGAGAGTGTGTCAGTACCCAGCCAAAGCTCTACCAATACCTAGTGTTTCCATTTGTCCTTCTTATTCTATTGCCAACCTCCATGAGAAAAGCATGTTCAAATTAGCTGCTAGTCCCCAAATGAGAGTCATATAGACCAATATTAAACTTGATCCTCAACCAATTCAAGGAATTGTGCACAACAAAGGTAAATTTGTTTTACTATAGACCACTGATATGTGGAGATCACTTGTTACACTATTATTGATGCAGGTTTCTGAGTAATGCAATATCTTTCATCAGGTCTTGAAAAATCCTAAGTTTTATCTCTCTCTCTTTCTATCTTCCAATTATACATATGCTAAACCCTTTTGCAGCTTACTCTCTTTTAGTCACATACAAAAATTTCCATATTTTGATCATTCCATGCTGTTCAGACAACTTTTCCAACCTATATTACAGATCATAAGCTCCCTCTATAACTGTTTAACTTGCTTTTAAAATACCTATGGAGGTTTTTTCCTATAATTTCAATGTGATTTTTTTCAAGCATGGTATGCCACTTTAACAGATTCCTATTTTCTGTAGATATCTTTAATCTTGTATTTTATTATTTTTTTCTTAATAGGATAATGACTTCTTGGTCTGCATCTAATAATTTCATCATCTAAAGTATTTCTTTTTCTCTTGTTTCTTCTGGTTTACAGTCATTTCCTTTGTGACCAAGTCTCTTTTATGACTAGTATATTATTAGAATTTCAAATTTATGAAAAGTTTCTCCTTTTGTGGCAAGATTTATGTTCTTTTCTGACAGATAACTGTGGATTCCACCTGTCCATGTCCACCTTCAACCATGCCAGTTTCAAATTCCTTGGAGCACTGAAGGGGTAGACACCTGGATTGTAATTCCATGCCAAGAACTAGTTCTCTTCTTGTTTACATTCATCCAGAGTCCAAGATAATATGAGGGTCTCCTGTTAGGCTCTTATGTACATCTTCAGCTTTAAATTCAGTCCTCTTCATCATAGGAAGCTTTTAATTTTCTAGGTCAACAAATGCCTAAAGTACTATCTGTGTTTGCTTGTGGACTTGATTTCTAACATACCTTTTATTTTGCCATTGGTAATTGTTGACAATCTCGTCATTTTCTTAATGTTTTAAGGAGAATTTTATTTTTTTAAATCTTCTACCTAAGTTTTAAATTGCTTTCAACAGGATGAGTGATCTGAATAAACTATTCCACTGTTATCAGAAACAGGAAGTGTCTCACAGTTTTTCCAGGCCTTTTCATTATACTACTATGTTTTTCTGTTTAATTTCCTTTTCTTCCATCTGTTCTTTCCACTATCTTACATGTCTGCGCTGGAATCAATCCTATCCCAAATTAAAGTACATTTGCAAAACCTAGAATAGCATAAAGTCAGCATTGCGGTTAGTCTGACTCTCATCTTTTGACTTTATGGAGTTGGGAACAAACCCTCAGCTTGGGCCCCAATTTGGTAGAGTCATTTTTTTTTCCTTTTCTGTGTAAGAAATCATGTCTAGAAAGTCCGGAAATTTTTCCAGCATAGTATCAATGCCTTACTTTTCCAAATCTGTTTTGTTGCTAAAATCCTGTCTCTACCCTTCAAACTTTGTGGCTAATGTCATGTTTGTTTAGGAAAGACCATGATGATGCAGACCTTGATCTCTACATGCTAT